TAGCAACATAATAAATACCCTACCCATCTGTAAAAGTAGATGCAATTCAGGGAAAATGAAAGTCTTTTGTGTTGCGTTTTCTCTTTATACATCCGATCCGCAGGGAAGAGATGTAGAAGACATATAGAAAGGGACACATTATCAAATCAGGTATTTTTATCAAACGAAAAACAAATTAAGATAGAGAAAGAGGATAAATAGAATAAAATGATGATGCGGGGAGCGAAACCCTAATTACCAAGAGTCGAAAATGAAAAATAGAGAATCGAGCGGGGTAATGTCGAAAGCAAACTTTCCCTTCGGAAATATTCCCTAGATCTAAAAAAATAAATATAGTATATAGCGAAAAATATAGCGACATCAGATATAAGATGAACTTGTACTGTATGGGTGTATCATGGGAATTGAGGAAAAAGTTGAAGCAGAGAAGGAGAACAGAAAAATCAAACACGTAACGTAACTAACAAGGAGCCAAAAGGCGCCTACAACCATTTTCCAAGATAACAATGTCTGCGCATAACATACAAACACGCGCGCATCAGAGAAGTTTGAAAGGAAAGATGGGGGCAAAAGGGAGGGAATAAAAGGAAAAGCAATGACTGGCAATAAAAGAGGCGCAGAGGAATAATATATATGCTGTGGTACCCACAACCCACATCATCAAAGCCTCACTTGGGAAAAGTGAATGTGATATAATTCCAGCCAAAAATGCAAAGTAGATAAAAAGCAATAAAATAAAGTCGGGGTAAATGGGGGGAGAAGGAAAGGGGTAGCTGAATAAACTTAACAACGCTTCACTAAAACGCTTCGCCAAACATGAAAATAACCAAGACGGAATTTGGCGAACAGCGGATAAAGAGAATTCATAAATCATCGCTAGAACGGTGTGAGAAGAAAAATAAAATGATTGATCATGAATAGTAGGAAGGAGAGAAATCAGAAGGAAAAATAGCTCAACCAGATTTGGTTGAGACAAGACAAATATGAGAAGATGAGAAGATGAGCAAAAGTAGAGAAGAGTATATAAACGGTGTGAGTGTGGGCTGTATACGCTGTGCAATGCCTGAAAGTATGGATGGTGAGGAAATAAAGAAGACATGGCGGAAAAGGAACAAAAGCAAAACCACGCAGAAGAGGACGTGAGACTTCAAACCTGTTCAGTATGCAAATATAGTGAAGCTTTATGTGTTATCGGGAAACGGCAAATGGACAACCTGAAAACCCAGCCAACCCGTTTTGCACTTGGTGCGGTGGATGTGGGGTTTTCTGTAGTTTGTTCAAATGCAAGGCGGAATAGAAAAATAGTGTCAGAAGACAGCGGACAATCCGTTCTTCGAATGGCGTCGGCTGAATCGCTTTTTTCCCTTCACAGATTCCGAATCTCCTGTGGCATGATGTTTGACAAGCATGGCTCTTCCACTTGCTTGGGGCGCATTGACGTTGGCGGAGAAATCATCGGAATGGTCAATAGTGTTGGCGTGGCTAGAAACGCCAGACGATAGATCCCTCAAGGCATCATCGCCGTAAGGACTATTCGACGTTTGGAATTGGGCCAGCTCTTTGGCACGATCTAGTATATCGATCCATTCTTGTGTAGAGAGAGCAGATGCTGCAACATCCGATGACAATGGCCTTGCATCTTCAAAAACGTAGTGTTTCTCGCGCTGTAGAAATCGGGAGACTTAAATCAACAAACGATCAAACTATAATTAACTAGTGAATGGTTCTTACCGTATCTACTACCCACGATGAATAACCTTTCGCATCGGTGGTGCTTCGATATTGTGCGCCGGGGGCTAGGAGAGAGATATCCATTTTCGCTTTCTTCTCTCCTCCACCAGCAGGCACAATAATGACACGACCAGCAGAGGTAACCATAACTAACCGCTGACGCTTCTTGGTCGTGTTTCCTCCAAAAAATCGCGAAAATTTCTTGGGAGCATCACCATCGCCATGCCCACCTTTTGCGTGTCCATTGTGAGGAGCGGGGGAAGAAAGAACAGTTAAATTGCCCATTTTCAATATACGCTCGTTGGTTCGAGTCAAGACAGGAGACCACTCAATATCAAGTTGGGAAGGAGGTGGGAGATCGGTAACCAGGCGTGGATACGGCCTTGCGCTCCCTGAGTTGCCTGAAGATCCAAAACCCTTTGTGATGTTTGGGGGGAAACTGTCGTCCTTATTGGAACCGTTGAGTTTAATTGGCTCTGGTGGTGGCGGAACATATGGCTTTAAACGTGGTGCTTTTTGTTTCCAAAGACCACGACCCCAAACGATGCCATCGAAAAATTCATGGTTTTTAATGTGTTCCATTTGCAAGCGCCTCGACGGATCAAGAACAAGTAACCGTTCCACCAAATCTCGCGCAACTGATGGAAATCCGGGAGGGAATTCATACTCGAGGCCAACAATTTTTTGAAACGTTTGATATTCATTCGCAGCTTTGAACGGAGGTCGTCCGGCTATTAATTGGTAGATGATACATCCAAAAGCCCACAAATCGCTTGCCTTGTAGGCACTCTTGTCTGTGAGAAGCTCCGGACTGACATACTCCGCAGTTCCCACAAAAGAGTTGGCCCGATCCCGATCAGCATCGTCAGAGTCCATCTGTGGGATACCACTCGAATTTTCTTCCTGTCGTTTTGAACGATCCAGTATTTTAGCTGTGCCAAAGTCAGTGATTTTCACGTGCATCTGGCTGTCAAGTAGCACGTTTTCTGGTTTTAGATCTCGATGAATAACTCCGCGCCTGTGCATGTAGTCAATTGTATCAAGAATCTGCGCTCCGTAGAATCTAGTGCATTCTTCGTCAAACGATGACATCCGCTTCAACACACCTAATAGCTCTCCTCCACTCGCAAGGTCGAGGACAAAATAAAGGGATCGCTCATCCTGGAATGTATAGTATAATCGAACAACACCAGGATGATCGGTCAATCTGTTTAATGTATCCTTCTCGATGTTAACATACTTCACTTTCTTTTCCTTGATAATATGCCGTTTGTCGAGTATCTTTATGGCGTATTCTTTTAAGGTTTGGCGGTCCGTAGCCGCAACGACTGTACTGTATGATCCCTCACCGAGTGTGCGGCCAAAGGAGAAATCTCTAACACCTTTCTTCACGAATCTCGAAACGGGTTTGCCATTTGCGTCAATTTCTTGTCGTACGCCCACGGCTGCCCCACGCTCCTGCCATTCTTCACTACTTGAAAGCCAGACACCCTCGAGGCCGTACGGAGAGCCAGAGAGCGCGGAAGTGCCGTTATGATGTGTTACTCGAGAGCTCCGCCTCGGTGGCAGTGGGGAGCTGCCGCTGTGAAACTGCGTCTGGATGTATGATCTCTCAGAATGGCTACTGTCTCGCACTGGGACTCCGGCTTGAAGAGCTGCGGATCCACCACGAGAATCCGATCGTGATTGACTGTCGGACGTAGAAGAAGCGGATGACTCCGTACGGAGTCGATATCCCTCCTTAGGAGCAAGACTTGAAGACGACCCATTGGTCAGAGGCTGTGTATGGTATGTTGACGGTGGACGCCCCGCACTTTGCGGGGTGGAGGGGCTTGGGGTTTGAGATGTTGGAGTAGCATACGTGGAATATTGCTGCTGCTGGGAGGGTAAAGGGTTCTGATATCCATAGCCCACGGACAATCTGTTACTCTGGATCTTAGGAAAAGAGACTTGGGGTTTGGAGGACGAATGGGTGTTTATATCAGGATGGGACGGAATTTGTTCCTCGACTCTGGTGGGCGATTGGGATCGGGGAGGATGAGTGGATGTGCTAGCAGAACTTGGAGTCTTGTCTATCGACTTGACGGAGGAGTCGTCCGGATTCGCAATCCGTAGGCCCCCAAAGGATTGCGACAGGCTTAAATCCCCATCCATGGCAAGGTGGAGGCTGGCCAGGTAGAGTTGCGTGCAGGATAGAGAAAGGTGCGGAAACGAGTGGGTGGGAGCGCTGTGGCAGTCAAGTGAAACAGGAGGGCAGGCAACCACCGGGAGGAGAGTTGCGGTAGAGGGAGACGTGCGATAATTAACCGGACGAGTGGTCTCCAGAATAGAGACTACGCCGGTTGTTGGAACGACCGGTAAGGCATGGCAGATGCGCGTCGCATCCAGAGAGGGACAATCCTGGGCGCATTCCCGCAGCAAACCAGGGGGAATCAGAGGGTCGAGAGAAGTCAGATTCCCAAAGATGGCGATTTCGCAGAGTGCAAAGACAAAGAGCGAGAGAATTGAAACGGGAAACGAGGTAAGAAGAGGTTGAAGTTGAGCTGAGAGACTGGCAAGGGTGGGATTGGGGTGTGAGGTTCGAGTGAGATATTGGAGGCTCGGCGATGGTTGAGGATATTCGTGGTGAAATGGTATTCGATGTGACAGTATCGTATAATACAATACCACTACCAGCCTTTTGGGTTTTGCGATAAAGTCATTGAAGCCAACATATACATGAAGGCTGTGTAATTTACATACCGTATTATAACCGTTCTATTTTACGACCCAAGTCCACCCAACCAAGGAGTCTTGCGCTGGCCACCAACACAGCCCATGAAGACAGAACTGAGATAAAAAAAACCACGTACCCTTGATGCAACAAATGGGATGTCTGCTAGTATGCAATTGCATACACTAGATATTGACTAATAGCACCCCGATTCTGTTCAAGCTTGTCTCAGACCTGCATACAGCGAAGGATCTAACCTCAATCGTGCAGTATAACGCTTGCGCTGGATACGGTGTCTTCTCGGACCCATTCTGGAACAAAGCTAATCAAATGGATAATGCGGTTGAATCTTCCTAGGCTTGGATATCTATCACTCAAGATCACCAAGGGGGTCTCGCCCGTGGCCTATTTCTTCGCCATTCTTGTTTGCACGCTTGTATAGAACTTCAGCCTTATGGAACGTCCAGTGCTCTTGCACAATATAACGGCTATCTGATAGGGCGGGAAGTAGCCATGACCTCTGCATGGTTTTTGTTGATATGGCTTCATTTGCATTGTTTCTTTTACACCTTGCTTGGCCAAGGTGTTCTTTCGACAGATCACACTCTGTCGCTTTTGAACTTCTAGATACATCCTTGTGTTGGATTATAACAGTCTCATGCAAGGCTCATAGCCATGTTTCGACTTCGACCAACTCCCATTATTCTCTCGGATGACGAGATCTATACATGTGTACAGAGGATTCTGATTGCTCGAATTCTCGAAAAAGGTGGAGATCCGCTTGTATCGCCACTTCAACGGCGTCAGTCCTCATCAGAGGCGCCCTCCACGGATTCTCCGTATATGGCCCCTGACTCCAGTAGCTTCGAGGAGTTTACAGATTGTGGCCCTGATGATTGTGACAGTTCTCCCGCCCTCAATAATGGGAAACGCAAATGCGAAACCTCATCCGACGATCCGCAAACAGAACAGCCTCAGCTCTCTCCGGCTCGTCAAGCGTTTCCATCCTCCAGCGCTGATACTCAATTGGCGAGCAATTAGACACAGTAACATTGAGCTTCACATCATTTCTTTCACTCTCCACGTGGTTTTGTCCATTTACTTTGTACCCTAGGTCGGTCGGCGGAAACATGCGCCTGGAGTGGGGAGATGACATTTCAACAGGTCTCAACTACCAAATGAAGTCATTCGCGTTCCCAGTTCCGACGGACTTGGCTCTTTTGCAATCTGATGGACTTTATTCAAAAGTTTTTCCATATTCAGGAGGATCGAGCAAGATACATTCGGTTCTAGGATGTATTAATCCAAATCCAATACCTCCAGGTTCCACACGCTGTAGCTCTCCATGCTGCCAATCCATACCATCTACGCCTCCACTTTCAGATTCACAGGGTACAGATTCAGAATGTGACACTGAGGATGGCTTATTCCTATCCACCCCTAACAGCAGCCGAAATATTACAACCAGACCCAACGGAACCAATCTATATCTTTATGGCTTTGGGCATTCTCCGGCCACCGAAGATGCTATTCGGTGCAACGACATCAATCGAACTACTGCTGGGAGGTCTTCGAACAAAAATGCCTTTCATAGTCAGCGGAATAACCCGGCAATGATAAATAGCAGCTACACTTCTGCGACATCTTCACTCTCTTTCTCCAGATTAGATTCAATATCTCTCAATGGTATGTAAGCGCCTTGGTTTCCGAGTATAAATACCTGCATTTGCCCATAGCAGTCCTCGCAGGTCCTTTTTTTTTTTTTACACAGCTTTGCACACTTCATGAATTCCGTAATCGTTCTCCTTTTAATTGAATTTCATATTTTCCAGCGTCATCAAGTGCTTACATATCATTATCCATTATGTCACACACACATTAGCTACTTCATTCGATATGCACTGCTCTTGTGAGAAGGGTATGTTGGCTCAAATGTACCAGCAGTCCTTTCTATCAACCCCGGCCTCCCAGCGTGGATCGGCGAACAAAAACCAATATCCTTGGGTCCCGGCCGGTAGTAGGGAGGGTGCTGACACGATGCCCACCTCCAGTAACTTGGGTCAAGTCTATCCAATAACATCAGCGAACACTGTAGTTCCCACAGGCGAAATCCCTCTTATTGCACCACAAGCTATTGCAAATCAAATCCCTTATATCGAGAGAGTTCCCCAGGAAGCCGCCGGGCTACCGCAAGTGACGCGAACCGCTATTTTCTGTACCTCACCATGGCTAAGCCAGCAGCCGAATGTACCCATATACGCAGTATCAACTGCCGCAAACCAGTTGCAGGATACGATGCCACAGCGACATGCAGCCATAAATTACTATCACGTTCCTCTTAGCAGTATCTTTGGGAACCCTGTAACCCCAAGCGTGGTCAGTTTGTGTTTATTGCCGTTTAAACCGTTATGCAAATTTATTTGATATACTGTATATTCACTATTGAGCCTGATTAACTAAATAATCTGGACTTACTAGGCTCTAAGCCCGGCCGTAGTCCCAACCTACCGTTTGAATCAGCAACACGAACAACAATATATTGTTCCAGCTACGAGGCTAGCTTCAGCGTATACGGCTGGGCATGGCTATGTATTCCAGCAGCGAAGTCGTCAAGCAGCACATAATAACACGAACAATCAGGCCATGGCACCTATCCACTAGCCTGCGGGAATGGCTGAGATACCTCGGAGCACGACCTGGCAAATTCAGCGGCCCAGCTCTACTGCCGGACCTGCCATTCATTCTGGTAGGGCAACCACGGCATCTGGTCATCACAGCGATGGTAATAATGAAGGAGAGGTTAAAGCTCCATGGCCAGATTCGAGGATATCATCAATTGTAGTTTCACACTTTGCAATGGGAGTGTTCTCCACATTGCGTGGTTATTTTTTTTAGGACGGTGAGGTGAAGTAAGTATGTATGGTCAATGATGAAGAGAGTGGGGGAGGGAGTTGGAGTTGCGCCGGAGTAGTTTTGACATTCTCCCACAAATTCTTCTCCATGTTCAATTCCTTCACCCCCTCTCCCCCCCTTCTTGTTATTTCTACAGATTGCGCATAATGTTTTATTTCCCCCACTCTAAATTCTCTGTTCAGTTCCATATTTTCTATTCACTGCAGCATTTTATCTATTGCCAGGTTGATTAATGCATCGCACCGCCCTGCACCTATGTGTTTTTCTATAGTTATCATTCCACAGCATTGATTTCCCCTGTGTTTATGTTGTGTTCGGCATGCTTTGTTTGTTTTTTGTTTCTTTCTCCGAGGCCCGAGTCTTAACATTATGGCTAAGACTGTTTATTTCCTTTCTTTCTTTCCCTCTTTCTTCCCCCTCATTCCGTTCCTTCTCTCATGCTGCGTGAGTGAATACATTACAATCACTTCCGTTCTGTTCCTCCAAGTTGACCATCTGTATTAGCTAGATGATTGAAATGATATGATATGAAATATATATGTGAATGCGTCTTCAAATCGACCGAGTGGATGAAACACCTTACCCCCCCCCCCCCCTTTCTGCTTCAGAGAAGGAAAAGGAGAAGAAGAAAAGTTTAATTCATCTCCCTCTTCTTCGCCAACAACTGCGCCCCATCCACAAGCCTCCGCTCCCCATTCTGCCGCCCATTGACGAAGTCCGGATAATTCAACGTCAGCTCCACGGCGCCGTTGACGATATTGTCCACGGCCTCCACGCCAAGCATGAACGAGTGGTCCTGGTTGCCCACCTCGTAGCGCCAACTGCCGAAGCGGCCGCGCGACCAGATGTCCTGCGCCTGCAGGCGCGGGAGGAGCTGGGTGAGGACGCCCTCGCGCTCGAGGGACGGGGTCGGGTAGCCGTGGTCGAAGCGGCGGTGGTAGGTCGAGACGATCTCGTCGGTGGGCTGGAGCATCTCGGTGTTGACGAGGCCCTGGATGGAGTCTGCGAGGAGGGTGGCGGTGTTGACGGGTTTGAGGGACGATTCGGAGACTTCGAGCATGATGGACCAGTAGGGACCTGGCTGCGGGGTTTGGTTGTGGGGTTTGGAGCCGTTGGCAAGTTGCTGGGTGGAGAGTCGTTTGTCGGCGGCTGGTTGGTTGTTGGGGGAGTAGTTGGAGAAGATTGTGGCGCGGTAGAAGGGGCAGTTGTCTTCGGGGAAGTAGAGCTGGGGTTTGTGGGTTAGAGCAGAGGCGTAGAGGAGGGGGGGGGGGGAGGGGGATGGGAAGGGACAAAGAGGGTAAAAGTGAGAGAGGGTGACATACCCAGCACTTATCGCCGATTCTCTCTGGGCGTTTACCACGGATTCCAACACCAATGACATGGGTGGAAGAGTAGAACAGGCCCTTGCTCAGGTCGACCAACTCTTTATCTCCCATCTGCTCGACAAGCGTGTCTACTTGCATGGTAGAGACGAGCTTCTGGTAGCCGACAGTGGTGCCATCGGCAAGCACGACGGTCTTACTGGCAGCATTAACCTTGGCGACCTTGCCATGCTCGCCGAATCGAGTGTTATTCCTTGGGCAGGGTGTTTGCGACTGCAATCCATTATCCCGCGGGGCCCCCCGGCGGGGGGGAAAGGAAAAGGTTGCGTTGGGACCCCAAGTTTCCGGCCGGTCTTTTGCAGGACGACGTTTCTGGTCACAGCCTTGAGATTTGGCGCCGCGACACGCTCGCCAAGCCCAGGCGCATTGGCATCTGATAGCGGTTAGCGGGACGCAAATGCTCTCTGTTTTGTTAAACCCCGATATAAGGAAGGTGCGGCGAGTTCCACACACTTTAGTCGTCGGGCACAGCCCAGACCTTGAAGTTATAAGGGCGCATGAACAAATCGCCAATCCCACTCCCCATCATGCGGAGAATCCACTCATCGAAGTCCTTGGGCTTTGTGTTGGACACGCGGGCTTCAAGGGCGGCATCGATCATCCCATCCAAGCATTTGACCTGGTCCTCCTTAGGCAGCATGGAAATATTATTCTGGAAAGGGTAGGGCACCCAGAGCCCCTTACATCGGACGTAGAAAATGCGCTGGTGGGTGTCCCAGTCGTCGTCCTTGGGCAGGCCCTCATGGATGCAATCGTCGAAGTATTTGTAGTGGGAGAAGATTACATGCCCCCCAACATCGTATAACTATTTTGGGAGGGGGGGGGGGGGGGGGGGATGTTGAGGCTAGTTAGTATAGCTAATCACTCTTTAAGCAAGGAAAGCTAACCAATTGATGGAAAAAAAATAAAGAAAGGAAAGGAAAAAAGTGTATAACTCACGAATCCCTCGGGGGTAATATCTGTAGAGGCCAGGCCGCCAGGGGTCTCGTTGGCGTCCACGATCATCCAAGATGGTCCATCCTGTTCAAGGACACAATTAACTTAGTCAGCAAGCGAAATTGAACCATCTCTTTCTATATATATATATATATACATATCTCCTCGTCCAGTGAGGATATGTGACTTGGGAGCCACTCGTACAATCTGATTGAGGCGCTTCGCAGCACCTAGGCCAGTGGGACCAGCCCCGATGACCAAGACATCGACCGAGCTATATATATAGATGACATCCAGTTAGTGGTAATTGAAGCAGTAAAAACAGAGAAGAAAGGAAGAAAGAAAAAAAAGAACAGAGCTGGAAGAGAGCAATTGCGCACATATCTGGGTGGGACATTCTGCCTTGCAAAATATCCTGGAAGCTGGGCACACGCTGCAAAGTCTTGCGGGCGAGATTGAGCATGAAATGGGAATGCCAAAAACGGGGGCGGGTATCAAGGACGTGGTGATACTGTGGACCGTCGCTTCGAGAATGTTATTCGTCAATGCTGAGCAGTGAGGGTAGAGATTGGAGAGGTTGAAGGCGCCAGAGGGGAAGATGGGCGGATCTATGTAGTCTATCTTCCTTCTCCGAAGAACAAAACGAAACCGACCAATGAGGGCAGCGAGGTATTAGTGACTGTAGTAGGAAAGGAGAGAGACGAAGAAGCAGCAGAGCGAGCAGAGATTTGGGGAGGAGGGAAGGGAGATGAGATTCGAAAGTAGCTGCTGCGGCGTGGGCTTGTGGATTGCGCTGGCGCCAGCTAGAGCGAGCTGGTTGGCATGCTTGTGGTGTGTGTTAGCGCGCAGGGAAGACTGTAAAGTAGTTAAGCAACTGGAGAATCGATCAATCACGCAGGGTTGAAAGGTGCAAAAGATCTGGCGGTGGAGAGTTCTTTAAACGAGGGAGAGTGTGGAGTGTCCTCGCTGCGGATTCTTCTTCTTGATATCAACCCACAGTTACATGTACATACATATTTACCACATTCTGACTCTTGGGGAAGAGCTCGACTCAAAAATCCCGCCCTGGAAACCATCTCAACTTCCCAACAAACCGATACTAGTACAATACATATTCGTACTGCCCACCTATAGCCAGGCTGGGCATTCGATTTTTAAGGCAAAAGGCGTAGGAAAGCTCAATAATGTTTATTTTAGATAGATAGAGAGTCAGTGACGAGACGATTGCAACGGCCACAGACCCTCTCTGCATCCTTTTCCACCCTCCTCCCACAGAAAACCAGCAGTCTACGCAGTGCGTACTGATGCTATATTCGCAGCAAGCC